TGTGTGTGTGTGTGTGTGTGTGTGTGTGTGTGTGTGTGTGTGTGTGTGTGTGTGTGTGTGTGTGTGTGTAACTGCCTCTAAATCGGAATTTAGAGAGAAGGAATAGTGCAGGTAAACAGTATGGCCTGCATTTACATGGCTCAGAAGCAACTGTATGAATTTAGCTAATAGGGCAGCCAGGTGCAGGAGATAAATGGCAACAGGAAACTTCGAAATACTCAGTGGATAAGCTGCGTCTTCGGAATCAGTTTAAAAATCAGGAAAATATAAATGTTCGACTTAGTGCCCGAGAACCTTACCTTTTTTAACTTTGCTGAGAAAGACTACAATAAGTTGGCTTTGTAGGCTGTTATTAGATTTCAATGCTATAAAACTGAGCAGAAAATAACTGTTTAATTAAAAAAATATTAAATATATTTGTACTTTGAGGCTGGCACAAGTCTTAGATGAGGTAGTATTATTCAGCTGTAATGCAGAAAGGTCTCGGGGAGTGACAGATCTGCATGTACTTGCTGGCGTGGGTCCGGGTCCAGGTCCAGGCCTGGCATGCTGTTAAAGCCAGCAGCTGTGGTGCAGGATGATAAATTGGTCCTCGGAACAAAAGATCAGGGTGATCTGGTAGAGCCCACAGAGCGTCCACTTGAAGTCTTACTGGGTTGGAATATCACATCTGCCTGGGTCAATTCAGAGCAAAGAGGACCAGTGGAATGCGCTCCATTTTGATCCTGCAAAGCAGACGAGCACGAGGTTCCAGGAGAGAAAAAGGCATATATCAGGGTATACCGTTCAATCAAGGCATCCTCTAACTCTGCCTGGAACACCTGCAGGTGTAGGAACCACTCCTTCAGGTTCAGATGCTGCCAGCTGAGGAAGTCGGCCTGCCAATTCTCCATGCCTGGGATGTGAAATTCTGGCCAAGATAGCATATGCTCTACCTCTCTTGCTGCAGTGAGACTCCTGGTCCTTCCCTTATGGTTGATTTAAACCAATACCGTGTTGTTGTCTGAATTCATCTGATTCGGCGACCCTCCAGCAAAGTGGTCCAACGCTACAGGGACATTCTAATCGCCTGAAGCTCCAGTATGTTGACTAGTGGGCAAGATTTCTCTGATAGCCAAGTCCCCTCCCCAACACAGCAGGCTAGCATCAGTTGTGAGGTTCTTACAAAATACAGGAAGGAAGAATTTCCCCAATCCCAGAGTCAGTTTCCCCAGTCACTATGCCAGGGACAACCTAGTCATTGGACCAATTTATGTGGTGCCGTCAAGGGACTGAACTATCATTCCCCAATAACAAAAGATTTCATTATGCGGGGTCTGAACTTGAAACACGGCAAATGAGACTGCCTCAAAAAGGACACTGCCATCAGATTCAAGAGACTTTTTTTTTTGCATTATAGAGTACGAGCCTGGGAACAGAAATTTTGCAAAAAGAAATTCTGAAGTGTCTCCCGTGGGAGAAGCCTGAGCTGAACTGTGTCTAGGCCTGGACGACTAGATGCAGGTACTGGACAGTCAAGACTACACTGAAAGACCGAGCCTGTGCTGACTGTTCCCTCAACCGAAGATCATAGATGTATCCCACACTGGGGATGACACTACCGTGGCCAAAACCTTGGTAAGAGGGGTTGAATCGCAAAGCAACAAACAAAGAACAGGGAACCCACAACAAAGCACAGAAAATGTTGGTGTGCTGGAAAAATGGGGGCATGCAGGTACGCATCCTTGATGTCCATAGAAGGAAGTCTCCCTGGTGAAGAGGAGACAGCAACAACAAGCTTGATGGATATTACATGGATTTTCTGTGCTCAAATCAAGACATTAAAATAGGGTGGGATGCCTCTTTTGGCTTGGGAACTATGAAAACTTTGGGGTAAAACCCTGGAAACTGCCCTGCCACAGGAATTGTGGAAATTACACCCTGATCCAAAAGACCAGAGAGGGGTTGGAGGGGAGAAACGGAGGAAGGGCTGAAGAAAAACTCAAGCTTGTAGCCCCTGTAAACAACCTCTCATACCCAAGCAGCGGAGATAGAAGCTATCCATGTGTCCGAAGACTTTGGAAAGTGGGGGCGCACCTTCATGCAGAGAAAGATCTGTCTGAGGGTTAGGTGGACTTTAACCACTTCAGTACCGGTATATTAAAACCCCATCCTTACCAGGCTATTTTTCAGTGCTAAGTTTTGCTGAGAATTCCTCCATCATGCAACAATGTAATTTTATATAATTTTCATGGGGACATATAGAGCTTCCTTTTTTTGGTATTTAAAAAACACTTTAAAAAAATGGTTACAATTAAAGTAAAAAAACAAAAACAAAAATACAAACCCTGTTTCTCTTACATTTGTTTATAAATCATACCAAAATAAAAACCGTCAGGACAGTCAAAAACCCCTTTTTTGGAAAGCAGACTCTCCAAAGATGATCTGATTTTTTTGCTGCAATTTTTGGGAAATGAATAAGCTAGTATCGAGGGGGTTAAAACATGGAGCTTAGTAATAGTGCACAAGATATAATAAATGCACAGGCCATAGAGGATGAAGGGGTTAATGTATAGATGTGCAGGATAAGGGATGTGAAAGGGTTAAAATGTTACCTTTTTTTATCATCTTTTTTTTTTGGGCAGCTTGTTTTTACTAGAAAGTAATGAATGAATGGACTCACCCATTATTACTTGCTTTACTCTGCCCCTGCCTCTAATGTAAGAGGAACGGGAGGGCTTGGCAATCTTTTCCAAGCAGAGCTAAACAAAAGATGCTCATCCTCCTTGGACACTAGCAAAAAGATGAAGCATTCTGGTAGGAGGGGTTATCCAAGACTGACCTACATTTTCCTGTAGTTTAATATTCCTGTGTCCCTCAATAGACAGGAATGGTGTAATAATAAATTTCAGAGCTGCATTAGTTTGTTAATTTAAAGGAGAACTATGATTTTCCCTCAGCCTCATAGTTCGAGCCGATGAGTGACAATGAAACTGTCATACGCCGGCTCAATACATCGGGAAGTGAGCGACCACATAACGTCACTCGCTCACGTCCCTGCAGAGAGCCGTGACTGTCACTCACGGCTCCCTGCAGGGATTCCCCCCTCCCCGGTCCGATCCTCCAGCGCTGACTGGCGGAACGGACGGGGGAGGGGGTGGGTACAGCTGGCTCTGCATCTAGACAAGCAGAGCCAGCTGTCAATCACTCAGCTGGGTGGATCTCGACAGTAATGCCGGGATCCGTCCCGACTGCGGCGGTCTCAGCATGACGCGAGCTGTAGCTTGCGATATACTGAGCTTTGGGTCACGGGAGGACGCTAGTTTATGTCCTCCTGTGACCCTTAGGAGAACTATGGGGAAAAACACTGACCCCATAGTTCTCCTTTAAGGCAAGTCCATGTGGACACACTACAGCAGAATTTTTTAGATTTTAAAGAGACATGTACCCGCACTTCACACCTAGTCTTCTAATCTGGACCCGTATAGGGATCACTTACCGCTGTGTACCCTCTATGTGGTCATCAACAACAATTTATTTCGAGACGATCATTTAAACCTGATGTTTTGGCATTCATAGCATTCTAATAGTTTGATTTCTTAACATTTTGAGTTATATAACATGAAATATTTCTCAAACTTAAACTAGATTGCTATAGAAATAATACAAAATCATAAATAAGACTCACCTCAACTTGCAACTGACTCAGCTTTTTCCTCAATTCTGTTGTGTCTTCCCCAGAGGACAGACGTTTGTGGAAATCCATCTCTGCATCCAACAGTTCTTTCTGAGCCTATAACCAGAGAAGGAAGCAAGGATTATTGTGAATTACTTTAACTATTAATATTTCTTAGGTTATACTATGAGAACATGTAACGAATATACAATTTGTGTTTGCCAATGTGGCAAAAATGGAAATACACTAAGATTTGATAAAAACCCAAGCAGTCTACATTGCAATGTATATAGCCTATCTAAGGGATATTTTTTTTGCCTAACGACAAACTGAATATTTAAAGACTTCTCAAGCTTTAACCTAAATAAGAAGTAAATCTTGATAATGAAAGGAAGGCAAAGTAGAAAATGAATGGTACGCATTTGCTTTATTTTAATGTTCCTGCACATTTTTGGGAAACAATGGTAATTGTGGTGTTATATAAAGCAGAAATGCTATTTTGGCGTCTATGGAGCAACAGTTTCTACATCTTTGTTAAGATCCTCGTTTCCCTCTTTCCTAATATAGTATGTTCTCCATGACTTCTGTACTTGCCATGCCTTTTATATAAAAGCATATAAGAGTGATTATGGAACAATTACAAAAACGTGTATCTTATTAAAATAAAAAAACAAACATACCTCAGTCTTAGACTTCACTTTTGATGGAGCAGCTAGGGTCTTCAATTCATCTTTCACATGAGAGATCTTCTCATCGAGTACCTTTAGCGTTTTAATTATCTCTGTCCTTTCTTCTGCCTTCATGGTTTTGTTTTTCTCTAGTTTTGATATCAACATCTAAAAACAAAAAAATGCATTATTTATAATATACAAGTAGCACAAATGTTCATAATCTATATCTCAATATGCATTATTTAGCAACTATCAAGTATACATAAACTCTAAGAAATGTTGTGTAAAGTTGTTCCCCAAGGAGTGCCTGTGTTTAGGGATACTTTTTTTCCATTTTAGAAGAAGAGAAGCCTTTTTGAACAACATTCCTGAGCACTACATGGCCCTAGTACTAATATCCAAGCGGAAAGTGTGAAATAGTGCATCTAAACACCTGAGACACAGACTATGCCATAGTACAAACTAGGGAGGCACCGATACCGGTATTTTGGTACCGAGTTTTTCCCGGTATGCGCCAATACCAAATACCGAGTACCAGAAGTACCATTCAAGAAGCCAGGCGGCATGGCTTCCTGATTAGCCGGGCAGCGTGTCAAGACTCGCCACCCGGCTTCCCGATTAACAAGAAAGACGTCCCATGCTTCTCGTCACTATGTGACGAGAATGCATGGAGCCGGCTTGCTGGCCAATCATGGAAGCCAGGCGCCGTGTAATGAGATGACGAGGGAGCATGAAGCCGGCATCCCGGCCAATCAGAAAGCCGGGGGCAGCGTCATTACACACTGCCAGGCTTCTTGATTGGCCGAGAAGTCGGCTCCATGCTCTCTCGTCACAAGTGACGAGGGGGCATGAAGCCGGCTTCCCGGCCAAATCAGGAAGCCGGGCAGCGTGTAATGACGCGCTGCCCGACTTCCTGATACAGGAAGTATTGGGCTAGGCAATGGAGCATTTGGGCGAGTACTTGTACTTATTTTATCGGCACCGATACTAGTATCCCTAGTACAAACATCTTAATAACCTATAAATAAATTGCTCTTGTATGATGAATCAAAGATGAGCTGTACGTACCTTCTGATATTCTATTTGCTTTTCTAACATTTCTTGTTTTTTCTTCCTCATATCCTGTTGCAGCTTTAATGCTTCCTGAAAATAAAATATTTAAAACGTTTCAAATAATTTTCAGACAGGTTCATTTCATATACATCATCATGTTGCTGTTTTTTTGTTGTTGAAATGCATGCTCTAAAGTGTATAGCTTGTGTAAAATTATCTACCAAGCTTTTAGAATTAAGTGGCATTATATTATACAAATCAAAGTATTCCGTCAACCCAAATGTGAAAAAGATTCCCATTCAGCAATACTGTGCAACTGATCTTTCAGCATTCTTCCATCATTCCTTGGTACTTAGTGCAAAATCCTTTTTGTTAAATATAAAAGGACAGAGAAGCACTGGATTTTAATTCTCACTCCCTTACCTAACTTCAGTTTCTTACTTGTCCAGCTGAGGCATAACAAGGAAAAAACCACTAAGATCAAGTAGAATTTGGAAACCAAGCTCCATTCCTGTGTATGTGCAAATGAAAAAGTAATCTGAAGGAAGCAAGAACACTTCTAAAAAAGGAGAGGTAAGCGGTAGCTACAACAAACCTGTTCTGTTGAGGAATCATGAAAAATTATCCAAAATGAGTAGGTACAGATCTGCCAAGAATTGGGTTTATTGTAAATGGTGGATATTATCCACCAAGAACGCGACTACAAGCTTTAAGGTTTACTTGAAAAATGTAACATGGCAAGAACTAGCTCAAGAAAATTAAATCACTTTGGGTAGAAGAAATGCAGTTATGGAATTTCATGAATTGTTAGAAACTGAGCATCCAGTTCTCAGACTTGATGACTGCACTCTACTGCCAGAAAGGGTGGTCTTCATTGTAAATTAAAGGGCAAAAATTTGAAGGATTGTAATTCCGTCTAATTGACTGAGGTTTATGTAGAAATAGGCTGATGGCAGGAATTATACATGTGGGCAATTCCCTAAAGGAAGATGCAAACTTGTCTGAGAAAGGATAGCTTTCTCAGGAAAACTACAGGCAGGGTTTAGGCCTTCAAAGAAATAAAGAACCCCTTCCCAAAAATGAAATGTAGGAACAAGTGCCTTTGTAAAAGCGAGAGGAATGATGCGTATTCTAACACTAGGTGTACCTTAATCAAGAGGTAGAAATTGGAACTGGAAACATTCCTGCCCCAGCATTGTGGCAATTAACAAATATGCTTGTGGAATTAAAAATAAAAAAAACATGTCACCAAAGAGCAGGGTCTTGCAGTCCCGGTGAAGAAAAAAATGGGGAAGGGAGGAGAAATAGGACCAGTCTACCCCAAGGTCATGGACTGGGGTGTGCCAGGTTCTGTGCAATAAAACCAGTCCATTCATACTCGAGATAAATGTGAGAATATGGCAAATTAAATGAAACAGAAGGATAAACACGGATTAGGCTGAATGGGTCCTATATTTTGGGTGCCTGGTTATCTTTGAACTCTACTTCATACAGGAAAACTTTCCTTTGCAAGGGAATGGCTCTTCCAGTTTGTCAAGGAAAAGACTTTAGGGCCCGAAGAGTTACTTCTTTACCTATGTGTCTGCTAGTCTTCTTTGGGCAATGTCTCAAGAACTTGTTATTTTGTGGATAAGGCTTTAAAAAAATGTGGTCTTGCCACGTTTTACTTCATTGATATAAGTATCCAAGGATTCACCGAACAGGCATTCTCCAGTAAAGGCTATGCGTTCAAGGTGCTTTTTGCAAAGAGGCTCTGCAGACCAGCATTCAAACCATAGGATCTGTTGCATATGGACGGACAGGTGACCCCCACCTGGAGATTTGTCCAAATGTATCTGCAAGGCCATCTACGCAGCAGCGCACGGTTTTAGAGTGGCAGAATCCATCAAGATGAACCCAGGGTCCCTAGACATGCTTTTGACTACAAAGATAAGGTCTGACACACAGCCCTGGTGGCAACAGCAGGTTGCATAGTAGGGCCTGCAAGGTAAAACAAGGGCTTACAGAGCGCTTCTAACCTCTTCTCCACATGGTTCTTGAAAACAAGCACATTCTCTACAGGGACCGTTAACATCTTCTTTAAACTAGAAATAGCTGGGTCTACAACAAAGACAATTTTTCAAGGAAAACTTTTCAATAGGGTATAGCTGAGCAAACAATTTCTGAGGTGATCCCAGTTATAATACAACACCAGCTATAAAAGAGCGTCTACAGGGAAGATTTTGGCAGGGTTGGCCATTTTGAAAGAACCCAGACTAGTGAACCTTGGCAAGGTGGACTCAGGCAGCTCTAACGGTAAACAATCACACACCAGGTTGACAAGGACAGAAATAGTGTCCTTGAGCTTGGGATTGATGTCAGGAGACAGGACCACAGAACTAGAAACAGCCTATTCTTCCTCAACTTTCTCCTGAATGATTGCAGAAGTATGGTAGACAATAGAAGGTCAAAGGGGGACTCTGGAGGGGAATGAAAGGGGTCTGCTTGGTGATTCAGCGCAGTGGTTTTCAGAGATCTAACCTCCCTGGTAGAGATGCGGAGTTCCAGCAGCAGTAGCTTTGTGTGGCCAACTCAGTAGTGTGTCTGAAGGAAAACGGTGTACGCATGCACAGTAGAAAGCCGCAGATGGAGGATGCACGGACCACCTGTAAAACTATAAAATGGTTCCAACTACATACATACAAGGAGAGGGGCTGTTACCTGGACAGCTTTAGGCTGGCCATACACCCATCCATTTTTTTCATTCAACCCCTTTGGGCTGAAGGAAAAAAAATTCCCGCCAATCCTCCATTAACACAAACAGTGTGTCGATCGAGGAATCGCCACTGTTTGCATTGTATTGTGACAAGTTTAGGTTTTAAAAACAGTCATGTGGTCCACAAAGTTCTAAAGAAAATGTTTAACCACTTAAAGACCAGGGTGTTAAACCCCCTTCCTGTCCAGGCCATTTTTCAGAAGAAAAGGTAAGCCCTACCATCATTCCTGTGTCATGCCAACAGTAACGCATCCTGAGACCGTTCATGTGTGGGGTTGCTTCTCAGTCAAGGGAGTGGGCTCACTCACAATTTTGCCTAAGAACACAGCCATGAATAAAGAATGGTACAAAAACATAATCCAAGAGCAACTTCTCCCAAACATTCAACAGTTTGGTGACCAACAATACCTTTTCGAGCATGATGATGGAGCACCTTGCCATAAGGCAAAAGTGATAACTAAGTGGCTTGGTGAACAAAACATCGACATTTTGGGTCCATGGCCAGGAAACTCCCCAGACCTTAATCCCATTGAGAACCTAGGGTCAATCCTCAAGAGACGGGTGAACAAAAACCCCCCAAAAATTCTGACAAGCTCCAAGCTTTGATTATGCAAGAATGGGCTGCCAGCAGTCAGGATGTGGCTCAAAAGTTGATTGACAGCATGCCAGGGCGAATTGCAGAGGTCTTGAATAAGAAGGGTCAACACTGCAAATATTGACTCTTTGCATAAACTTAATGTAATTGTCAATAAAAGCCTTTGCCACATATGAAATGCTTGTAATTATACTTTAGTATACCATAGTAACAGCTGACAAGAAGATCTTAAACACTGAAGCAGCAGACTGAAAATTAATATTTGTGTCATTCTGAAAACTTTTGGCCACGACTGTAAAGCCAAATAAACGTTTGTCTTTAGTTCTCTTTTAAAATTCAGAAGTAGAGTATTCATGCATGGGAAATTTGCCTGTATACAATGAGATGCTGGATTTTTTTTTATTGGCTGGCAGATCACCGTCATGGCATAGCACAATGAGTTGTGTGTGTTCCAGAGCTGCTATCTAGGGATTGTTAGAAAGCCGTCACAGGAGAGAGGCAGCAATAAAACCTTACAGCATCATCCATGCACAGGTATTGTTGGATCGAATAAGCGACAGGAATATGAACAGTCACTTTTAAAATATTTAAACACATACATGACCAAATTTATTGTGATTTTTGATAGTTGCCCTGAGTTTAGCTTTAAGGGCAGAAAAATAGGCTGGTTAATTGCAGTTATTAGCAGTACAAACACATACATCTAGAATTAGTAAGAGAAAGCAGTTACTGTTTATTGCATACACCGCTGCTATGGTAAAGAGGTTAGAGAACATAAATTATACCTGTTTCTTTTTTAGATTTTCCTGCACATCTAGAGGTTTTGATCTCACTGTGCTTTTATTAGCTGGCTTTGTGTTCGTAGAAGTGTAAACAGATTTTGAAAGACTGCTGGATAGTGGTACCGTCTGTAGAAGTAAATCAGAGTAAAAATCAGTCAGCAAACAGAGGAATATCGTCATTAATAGAAACTTAACACACACAGAGGAACTATTTACATGTAATAGGTCTGTCAGATTCATATCTGTGTGACTGATGAAATTGAGTGGAGCACAAGAAAATTGCCCGTAGGAAAAGAATGTGTAAACATATCCTTAAAAATACTTTAAAAGACCCATAAGTTTTTCTTTGGATTAAGCTTTTCCCTATCCCAAGTACTAATAAAAGGGAATGCAACATCTGAATATTTAACACATTCCTTCACAATGCGAGACTCCATCCTGTTTACTTTGAGTCCTCTATGTCTTGGGTCTCAACTGGTGGGTCATGACCTAAAAGTGGGTCACCACATGCCTTCCACTTTAGGTGAGATGCTCCTCTGCCTCCCCCTAGCACAGCACAGTCAGTTCTTGTGCCAAGCGGCTATTCAAAATATGCTGCCTGGTGCCGAATGTCAGCTTGAGGTGGGATGGGATGGGGCTGTGAGGGAGCTCCATAAATATATGTGCATTGCTTACAGCTGCCTCATCTGTCCTTTAGGAGGTGCCTGGACCAGAGTGACATCACATTCTGGCTCCCGACACCTGTACAGCTCCCGACAACGCGCAAGGGAACTGTACATGCAATGCACATCTGGATGAAGCTCCGTCACAGTTCAGCAGATTGCGTATGTATGCCCGTGTTTTTGAGGGCCCGTTCACACTAGTAGAGTGCATTAATCGCATAGTACCTTGCGATTAACGCACTGTACCATGCAATTGCACCTACCGTGCATTTTGGTGTGGGAGGTGTGTTGGGTTGCCATTCATTTGAATGGTTCCCCCTAAACGCACCTCCCACCCGCAGCTCGTACGCCTGCACTGGAACACACCGTATTCTAATTCCGTGCATTCCATTGCATTGCGACTTGGGTCGCGACTTAATGACCAAAGACAAATATGGGTCCTGAGGTTACACAGGTTGAGAATCACTGCTCTAATGCATAAAGTCAGGCCCAGATATGAGTGATAAGCCATGAATGGCTGCTTATAGAACACTTGAGTTTCAAGATTCCATTGCAGCGCTCCCCACACTGTCTGCAGTAGCATCTCCATTTGTTCTCCTGCCACAATACACACAACATTATCTGGCGGCTCTTCTGCCACACAATGCCCTTTGGCAGCTTTCACCTCACTGTGCACACTACATTCTCTGGTAGCTTTTCCTCAGTGTTGATAGTAGCTTCATCTTGTAGGTCCTCATTGCAACTATCAACACTACAGTCCAATAATGTGTGTGCCTAGTTTCACTGCTCTTCAATGCGTTCAGCACTACACCCTGTACTGTACCTTAACATTCTATGCTCCCCTCTTTCCACAATGCTATACTTTTATGTGTTTTTCATTCCCTGAGCACCGTTGCTTGATTGCAAATAAACTCCCTTGCACATTTAAAAAAAAAAAAAAAAAAAAAAAAAAAAAAAAGCACCCTAAATGTTAATATGAGCACATCTTGGATGTGCTGAGCCTCATTCCCTTTCCACTAAGCCATATATCTTGCCAAAGATGTTATGGCTGGTACAAAGCGACTGCAACCACCATTTCACAAGCCAGGAGATAGGGTACAAATTGACATTGCTCCTGCAGGAGTGAGAAGTGACAGTTCTTATATGACCCAATCATTAATTTACTGTACACTACTTAATCACAGCACACAGTATTTGAAATCTGTTAATCTGCTGTTCCCTTGTCTGTATAATGTCAGTCACAAGTATAAATTGGATTTTTGTACTCATTATAAAATATTTTCGTAGAGTGCACTGTAAAACACAGGAAGTCATTAACTGTCTATTTATACTGCTGCCTACAGGAGGATTCGGACACAGCAAGCTAAACAATTGTAGGCCAGCACAGGATAAGCCCTCCTATTACCAGCATGCCTGTTTTGTAGCAAAGCAGTACTGAGAGTACCTAAAAGACTGCAAGAAAAAACAAGAAAAGGATTTTGTGGCGAATACAAAAAAAAAATCCTATTTTCTTTCTCATCCACTGAGGGACATAGGAAAACATGACCAGTTGGAATGTCTAAAAGCCCAAAGCTGACGTCAGACAAGACCTGAACATCTACCTGGTAAAACTTAAAAGAAAAAGTGTGAAAAGACCAGATGGCAGCTTTGCAAATGTGGGAAACAGAGGTCTGAAGGACTGAAGTAAAGACCTCCTTGGACAGAGCAGAGGAGGGAGCTACACCTCAGGGAGCTAAGCTGATTTCAGGCTGCAGACTTCGGCCGCATCAGTAGTACAAGTGTGAACTGGGGACACAAGTTACAGCGGGATTGTCTCACATGTCGAGAGTCAGACATGTTGTAACTGCATGGCAGTGAAGCAATGTAGTTTAGAGTATTGTGTACACATTACAAAAGGTGTCTAGATTCCACCAATAGATCATGCTGGGAGGGAACACACTGCAGAGGTGTATACACGTTCGTGGTGTGTTTATAAGGTTAGTAAATCAACCCCAAAGCCTCAGGTACCAATCCCATATATTTTTTTTTGTTTACCATGGGCAGTCAAAATGAACCAAATAGTGCCAGTCCCCCTAATATACATATCCATAGCACAAATGAGAGCAACAGGTGTTTCAAAAGGCACTCACTACACACATAATTATGTTTCAATAAAAATCACGCTTTACATTTAATGATTACAAAAACACATTAAAATACATAATAAAAACATCACCATATCACATATTGTGCCTCCAAAATTCCACTTCCGGCATCCACTGTATCGATTAATTACACCACTTTCACATAGTTAATTACATTGTTTGTACAGTACACAAAACATTGGTTACTGTTGCCAGTGGTATGCAGTCTTCCCAACGTGTTTCGCAGAATGCTTCTTCAGGGGATTAAAGGTAAAAAGCTTATGGGATTTCTATGGTCAGTGGGAATTGCTTGGTGCAGAGGGGAGGGGAGAATACCACTCCCCTACGCACCAAATAAGCTTGGTGGGACCACCGGAAGAAGGGTATCCCAGGACACAGCACGGCCACCAAATAACGTGCGCCAATCTATGTATACTCAGTTTACACTGATGTAAACTGAGATAACCGAGTGATGTATTTTAATGTGTTTTTGTTATCAATAAATGTAAAGAATATTTTTTTTAAAACATAATTATGTGTGTAATGAGTGCCTTTTGAAACCCCAGTTGTTCTCATTTGTGCTAAGGCTTCAGGTACTCTGAATACACAAGCACTGGCAGCAGATGTAGGATCAGGTGACCAAGTCACTGAAGGCAGGCAGCAGGAACGCACTGAAGGACTGTAAGATTTCCAAGTGGGTCTATGCAAAGAAGAAGCAGCAGTGGAGAGGTTTCCTCAACAATGTGCGACACTCCACCCAGCATATGTCGTCAGTACTCATTCCCTCAGAACTAACCTCTTCCGTGGTAGGAACAGATTGGAAGTAAGGATTTAAAAGCGCCTAGTGATCCAAACCACAAGGTAACTCCCAATGAATGGCCTACTCCTACCGTGTTTCCCCAAAAGTAAGACCTAGCACGATTTTTAAACATTCCTGTAATATAGGACCTACCCAGAAAATAAGACCTAGTTTGGGGGCGGCCCTAGAGCAACCAGAGTACATGGCGGGGACCAACTGTCCACAACTATCAACTTTTATTAGGTTTATTTTTTCCTCTCTACTTTTCAACACAAGTTTCATCCAGTTTCAAGAATTTGCGTAGATAATGGTAACGGCCTTTACTTATAAACGAGGCGAATCTTGAAAGCCATGTTCTTCTCACTAGATGTAAGATGCAGCGCACATACAACAGTGGATCAGGCCGTAACAATTTAAAGCTCCCATTGCATATAGTACATACTTTAATGTAGGATTCCTGAATGACAGCATATTTCTTTGAGTACAGTAAAAGTACATACCAGATTTTCTTCCCCAGAATTATTCTGGTTTGAAGCCACAAACGTTGCATCAGTCTGAGTTCCACCAGGTGCTCCGTGTCGATGTTTTGCGGGTAGGTTATTAAGGACATAAGAACCCTGGTTAAGAGAGTTGGACGATCTATGTTAATTACAATGCCAGATGACAGAAATATCTAATTTTCAGTGGCAAGTATTTATGATTTTAAATAAAAACTTTAAAATAAGCAAACATTCTTTGCAACAGTTTACCCATGTAGAGACAGCAATGTTTTATTCACTACTAAGAGTTAAAAAGTCCCACAACAGGCTGCTTTTATATTTACCCATGCAATGGGTCCCCCCGCACTGCATGGATTAAATGTGCATTTGGCTTGGGTGGAAAGTTATAAATGGAAATAGTTAGATTTCCTTGCTCCTGCAGGTTTCCTTCTTTCCATGCAACCAGTACCGCAAAGACACTTCTCTTTGCTGCCTGGCTGGTCACAGCTCTGACACTGCGTATAACGCAGAACCAGCAGTCCTACATTGTACATGAGGACAGTAAGGGCCTGCCCACAACCCAGGATGTCAGACAGGAAAACACTGGCTGTAGCGAGGCAAATGTTAAGTATTTATAATACTTAACATACCGGCAATGTACCCGGCAATGCACGGGTACATTTTAAAATCATCCTTACATGGGCCGATAAGAACACATTATTTGTTTTAATTCCTGGGGTCAGAAATGCCCTAAAGTAAACCAGCAGTTCTGGTCACTGTCCAGAGGAGGTCACTTAACGCGGCACAATTCAAGAAGAGTAATAAACATAAAATTACAATTTAATTAGTTAGAAGTGGATGTCATTTGCAGTATTAAAAACACAGAACACCAAACAATCACTATTTGACGTACTACGGCATTACCTTCTGAAGATGCCCCTGCCCTGCGGATGGAACAGTCTGCTGTCCAGACTGAACTGTGTGTGTTGTGTGCTGATGTGTCATATGTTGTTGGGGCTGCTGAGGATGCTGCTGTTCATTGTTCTCCCTGTGCCAAAGTACCCGGATAAATCTATTGTTTAAAACCGCTTCGGTGCTGGATATTGCTCTCCTAGCTTCCTCATTTGTCAAGTACTGGATGAGAGCACCCTCGGGATCTCCCTGGAAAGCAACCTTGAAAAGAGAAGATAAATACACGCAATATTAGCAATGCTCTCACAAGAAAATGAATGTCTCCAAGCTATGCTTGCATAGCCAGCATTCATCTATTAGTGGCTAAACCTATATATGAAGACATCAGAAAGACACACTAAATCTCTTAGGGTTTAAAAAAAACAAAAACAAAAAAAACAACCTGCACACGTAACAAAACATTCAGTACTCTACTATACACTTTCCCCATGTTTTATCCTTAATAAATAATAGAATTGAGTAGGCAACATCGTGCCTGAAATGTGCTGAATGTCACAAGTCCTGTAGCACTCCTTACTGGAAATCCCAAAGATGTTAAACGGATGCTCGAAATGACAGCGGATGGCGCTGCACACAGAACAACTTTAGATGTAGATGTCACCAGCACACCAGGCACGACAAAAACACATGGGTCAGTGCAAATCCATTTAATGATATGTCACTCGGAAAATCAAGCGCTTTCAGGGCCACACAGGGTCCCCTTCATCAGGCTCAGAGTGCTGAAGTCCCAACCAGCATCGTCAGCCCTGCAAAACTTCGTCTATACCTCACCCACTCTGGCTCACTGCAAATACATGGATTCTTTTACCAGTAAAATAATGGCGCTGCCTTGACTTCTGGGATCCTGACCACACACTGTGAGGGCCTCCTGGGAGATACCATTCTGAAATTGGGAGGGGGGTCAGGCCTACATCAATTCTAGCAGAGCTAGAATATTTGCTATGTTATAGAGAACAAATTAGAAATGTTACTGGTTCCCGTCTGAAATTCCGAAGGAGATTTGGAGTGATATTTGTTGATGTCAATACTGTTCTCAGTTCTGGAGGCTCTGGCATGAGGAAGCAAACCACTGCATCTACCAAGATGGCCACCTCCACACAGAGACACGGTATAGAACAAGACATAGTAAGTCAGTAATAGGCGGGGAAAAAAAAATGAATAGACAGGGAAACCAGAGATAATACGGATGACTAGTCCTTACTCCCTTTCCCTGCCTACCGGCTTCCAGAGATCAGTTGCTCTGTAAAGCAGACTGGTTAGGGGGCAATATGGAGGCTGCCATTGCTCATCTCCTTCTGAATAGTTGATTGGAACAAGCATGAAGGATATGGAAATTAGGAAAGCGACTTAAATTTTTAAAAATGAGGAAGACCAATAGCATTTTAGGGGAGGTCAGTAACAGCTACCTACATATATTTCTATTATGGGGTATACTTAAAGTGACATTAAACCCTCAGATTTTTTAACATAAAAAAATACTGTAATGTGCGCCTTACTGTAATCCATGGTTGTTTCCCTTCTCTTTGCTGCTCTTCCTTTTAAATCCGTATCTCTTCTCATGCTGGGCAGAAGTTCTGTTTTGCAGCAGACTGCCTTGTCTCTGGAATGGATATATGGTGTCTGTGTGCAGGTTCACAACCTGAGCCAGCACTACAGGAAGAGGCACTCAGCTGCAAAGGGAAGTTCTCCCCAGCATGAGAAGACATGAGGATTTAAAAAGGAAGAGCAGCAAAGAGAAGGGAAACAATGGATTACAGTAAGGCACACATTACAGTATTGGTTTATGTTAACAAATCTGAGGGTTTAAGGTCACTTTAAAATTAAATGAGCAAAGACACAGTACTTGATGCAGCCCAATACCCTACCCCAAAAAAATAAACCCTCAAGCATTTTAAAACTCACCTGTATATTAACAATGCTACCAAATTTGCTGAAGTGCTCATTCAGCTTGGTAATGTTGTTTAGGTCCTGAGGAATTTTTCGGACTTCAAGTTTGGTATTTGTGTACAGAATCTTTTTCCCAAATCCTAATTTGTTATGGTTGTTGTTTCCATGCCTAACATAAGTAAAATACAAAACACATAACATTTGTGAAGCATTGCATGTAAAGAAAAAAACATTTTTATAGCAATACAGTGTTTAATATTAAACCAAAATATTTACACCATTAAATTGTTTATTAAAAACAAAATTAAATATCTATGCATCAAGTCTACAATAATAGAAAAAACGCTAGTATTTTTAAAATGATGCTTAGGTGTTCAGAATCTAATTGATAGTAAAAGGGAAAGCATAGTGTATTTTAATACGCGGTAACACTGGCCAGAATGCAATTTTCACATTTACGTTCTTCCTTTATTTCACATAAAGATTTGTAAACGCTCCATCTAGTGGTCAGCTTCCTGTCCTAAGAACCAAAGTCACCAGGGCATAAACAGAGGGTGAATCTCCCCAGTAAGCACACATGCCACAGGTAAAACCTTAAAAGGAGAACTATGAGGCGAGTGAAAATCACTCAGCCTCATAGTTCTAGCTGATCTGTGACAATGAAACGGTCACAGGGCAGCTCATTAGATCGGTAAGTGAGCGAACACATACCGTTGCTCGCTCACTTCCCCCGCCCCCTCCCCTGTCCCATTCACCAGCGCTGACTGGCGGAACTGACGGGGGAGGATACAGCTGGCTCTGCCTCTAGATAGGCAGAGCCAGCTGTCAATCCCGCACCTGGTGGATCTCAACAGTAAAGTCGGGATCCGTCCCGCCTGCGGCGTCTCAGTATACCGCAAGCTCTAGCTCGCAGTATACTGAGCTTTGGGTGACGGGAGGACGCTAGTTTGTGCTTCCAACCCCATAGTTCTCCTTTAAAGTGGATAAAGTTCTCCTTTAAAGTGGAGTGGTCACGCGAAGCGCCGTGCCGGAGAGCTTTGCTTCACTCTGCACGGCTTCGCGTGCAGTGTGTCACGGCCTTAAGTGTATGTAATCCCAGACTTATTTGCTCACTTTCTGTCTGCTAAAATGTTACTTACTATGTGTTAAAAAGCAGCAAAATATCTGTTGACCCTGTCAAAAATCAAAAATACTCAGCAGTGTTATCTCAAAGAATGTTATCAGTCATGCCGTTAACTTGTGTGAACTACAGAATATCACCTTCCATGTTATGGAGAGGAGGTGTTCTGTCATTTTAATGCACTTTTTGTCCTAGTTTACCCATAGTGTTGTGGCTCAGACACATTACAGTGAGTGAGTGTTGAACAAATAATGCAGCCATCACATCTAAGGCTGCAATATATTACAATTTTGTTCTAGGGTTTAGATAAACTTGAAGGTGTAAATAAAAAAAACGTAACAATTAACCTCCGATATCACTGAACGCAATAAGTGCAAAAAAAAAACACAAGAAACACCCCACACCTGTTAAAAGTGCTGAGAACAGTCCTGTTATTTAACTCTTAAGTATACAATTCACCTAATGAGATACAGCTTTAAAACATGCTGTATTTGTCACATCACTCCAGTTTTATTTATTTTGACCTTTTGGAGAATTTCCAGTGAAAAAGAAGGCACATATATGTGCAGTCAATTGCACCCATAACATTGATAACTAGCCAAGGCATAAAAAAACACTTTTTGGTCCCATTTCTGAATAGTATGGCCAAGGAAAATAAAACTAGCTTAAAAAACAGACAAAAAAAACAAATCCAATACATTCAGCCTTACAGTTTTATGAATAAGCCACCGTATGTTTTAGGCCCTCAAAGCCTTCTCAAAACTAGCACCACCATCTACTGAACTTCTTTTATATACAATAAGCATTTTCAAATGAAATGATTTTATATGTGGCAAAGAATTACAATGGTGGGTCAATTCCTGGTATAGGGCCAAGGTTCTTACTTGTCTGTCCAAGGTTTCTTAGCAAAAGGACCATCATTCATATTCCCAAGTGGTCTCTTCCTATCTGGTTCCACCACAACTCTGTTCAGGTTACTATTTTCAACAGCAGGAGGAGGAGGTGGCTCAGTTTGAATGACAATATTAGCAGCTATAACAAAAACAAACAAATTACGTAAGTACAGCACAAAGGAACTGATTTTACAGACACGAGTTGGACAAAATGTATTTCTACAATCAGAAGATATAAACTTTTTTATTAAAGACCGTCCATAAAAAAAGGTACAAAACTAGGCTATATAAACAGGAATAACCAGATCTGGTTCCTGGAGGAGTACAAACATTGAATATGTGCAACAACTCCAGTTAGAACTACTGACACTGATCGTTTCTCTTGTGAAAGTACAAGATCTGGAAAAAGGAATGGTAGTAGACATTAAAAAGGAGAATTATGAGGCAAGTGATTTTCACTCAGCCTCATAATCTGAGCCGACCTGTGATAATGAAACTGTCACAGGTCGGCTCAGTAGATCGGGAAGTGAGAGAACACATACCGGCGCTCGCTCACTTCTCGATCTATCCGTGCAGAGAGCCGTAAACGTCACTCGCGGCTCCCTGCAGGGATTCTCCCCCTCCCCTGTCCTCCAGCGCTGACTGGCGGAACGGACTGGGGAGGGGGCGGGTACAGCTGGCTCTGCCTCTAGATAGGCAGAGCCAGCTGTCACTCACGCAGCTGGGTGGATCCAGACAGAATTGTAGGGATCCGTTTCGGCGTCTCAGTATACCGCGAGGCAGCAGCAAAACCCCACCCTCAATGGACGATACAGAAAATGAAAGTGCATGTGGGCAAAATCTAACAAAAAGGTATTCAGCACAGTTTTCCAATACGTGTACATTTCCCTATGCTGTATTGCTTTAAAGGAGCTGCAAGTATTAAAATATACCTGGGGATCCTTCCAAAAATTCAATGAGCTCTTACCCTGTAGTAATGGAATAACCACACTGTTACTACTACAATGAAACCCAAAGTAGTGTTGCCTGCTCTGTCCGAGAGCTCCACTGGTGGACTACACCAGCGCATACCATAGTGCTCTAAATAAGCTCTCCTTATTTACATTCTCCGCACTTGCTGCCCTCTCATCTAAGCTGCCAGCACTGTCAGCTCACTACAGAAATTAGCAGCACACTGCATTTCTGGTGGGATCATCAGGCATTTGCAGTACTTTTGCAGCAGTATTAAAGTGATAACATGGAGCAAAATGTGTATATAATAAGAGCAGTGCTGAATAGGTTTGTGAAGACTTTGCCCAGACAAAAACTTTCAGGTGCGATAGCTAATCAAATTCCATCATACATGTATTGCAACATTCCATTTTTACCACGTGCAATAGCTAGTCAACAAAGTCACTAACCTCTTGGTGGTGTATCCATGTCGCCTGATGTCAAACCTATCAGATTTGACCTTTGCTGCTGCTGTGGCCGTGTATAAAAGGGCCGATATCCAGTTCTACCTGTTCCTGTGAGACTTGGAGCTTCAGGATTGTACCCATCAGGCTCATATGTATCTAAAGGGGGGCATATTAAAAACAAATTGATAAACCCAGGAAATATACATATAAAAAAAATAAGTTAAGCAAAGTTATAAACACAAATTTGAAGGCCAAATTGTCTTCCCTTCAGCAGTTTTTATTAACCATGTCTGGCATGTTATGATCGGTTTGGGAAGACTCAAGAGATGTGACTTCTTTGTAGGAATAGTGTTATTCTTATAGCTACTGTATTGTAAGTCAGTTATAATTACATTATTTGCCTTGCTTGCTGGCCACAGTGGCTATAGAATTTAAAGAACTAAAAGAGTAAAATATAAAGTGTAGGTACATAAAAACAAACTGTGCAAAGTTATGAATGCCCAATTAAGTTCTAAGCAACAGATCAACAGGCATTACCAGTCACTGGCACATATATGAACTGTCATTTCTCTATCCCCAGGATATTTACAGTATGTCTAGACAAAACTTATTTCCGTTTTGAATAGAATACAGAAATCTTAGAACGGTTGTCTGTGTCCCTGTCCAAAATTTTTTTCTCTCTGCCCTTCTGGTGACTGGTGGCACCAGGGACAGGAAATGAGGGGAGAAGTCCACAAAAGGGACATCAGTACTTATTTATTTTGTAGAGTAGAACAACATGTTCAAAACCTTTGCAGTCTGTTCCTTACCACCGACAGGTTCCAGTTTAAAAAAGTGATGAACTATATGCCCTTAATATTATGCAGGACATTAAAAAACTTAATGGGAAGAGCAGTGGTAGAAACGTTGTGGTTCTCTGCCTGTTACAGGACATTCTGGTACTCTAGGAGTCCCAATATTTAATAATAATAACGCATAAGGAAGATGTACTAGCTTTACGGCCATGTAAAATAGGAGTAGTGAGCTATGCTTACGTTCTGACACGGAGTAGTGCAGATTCTGAGGAGGTAAGGGAGGAGGCAGTCTTGCTCCTACCGGTGCAAGACTGGGGACAGTACTCGTCCCGGGCGGTTCACGATTATTTAGCATGCCTGAATGTGGTAATGGAAGCCCTGCAAATTCAAAAGCAAAACAGATTATTATTGTTGCCATTTAATTCTTCTCCAGGAGAGAATTTCATCACAAATAACACACTCTTGTCTGTAATCTAAAACACCTAAAGCTAAAGCTTCGTTTTAGCTTTACAGATCTTCAGTTGTTACTCAACATACCTGTCATTAACGGTCTTAGTTCAGCATAACGTTTGTTTCCGTCTCCTAGAGAATAGGAATATGCTTGATTTAAAAAAAAAAGTTTTATAAAATGCTACAGAGTATATGTGTATCTATCTATCTATATAAGGGATGTCCCGATACCACTTTTTCAAGACCAAGTACTGTCCCTCATGTACTTGCCGATACCAATTACCAATACTTTTTCTTAAAGGGACAGGTGATATTTTTCTCTAAAACAATTACAGACTAATGATTTTAGGGCAGTTTCTCACCAGCGCTGCGTGCATTGGAGGAGACGGGTTCTCTTTAAGGTGACCTCTAGTGTCACCTTTCTACTTCACTGGATTCACTGAATGTAAATACAGCAGGCAGTGGTTGGGAGCAGTAGCAAGCCTGCTATTGGATATTTTAAATTGCAATAGCCAATAGCAGGCTGGCTATTGTATCCGTCCACTGCCGGCTGTCAATCAGCAAAGGAGGGAACTGAAGACAAAGTTCTCAATCAGGTCCTCTCTGCTGATTGACAGCAGGCAATGGGCGGGTACAATAGCCAGCCTGCTATTGCAATTTAAAATATCCAATAGCAGGCTGGCTCTCTTCTTTCATTGAGAGTGAAAACTGCTGTGTACGTCGGGTGATTGCATTACACATAAGGAGCACGGACATCTCACACTTTGTGATATATCACCAAAAGGAAACAGCTTCATCAATTTGAAAAGGACGGAGGAGCAGCAGCTAAGGTACAGGGGGGAGGGGGGGCAGCGGGGGAACTCACAGCCGGAGTCTCTTCACTCTTCTCGTGCTGGCTACAGAGGTCTGTGAAAGGGACACAGAGCTCTGCAGCCAGCACCAGCAGGGAGAAGAGACTGTCCACACAACACCACGCTGTCACACTTCCGTCTGGAGTGGTCAGAGCGGAGAGGGAGCCTGCGTTTGGTGGAGAGGTATTCCGGGGGAGGGGCTACGGGGGTCAATGGCCAAAGCTAGTTAAAACATTTTTTAAGGGTCGGTATCTGATCTATGCATCGGGGAGTACAAGTACTTCTGAAAATGCCCTGTATCGGCCCCGATACCGGTACTAGCATCGGCTTAGGGACATCATATATATATATATATATATATTCTAAAACCTTTCCCCCCTTTTTTTGAAGTATAATTTTTGCTGTGCTCCACTCCACATCCTTCTCAGAAACAAAACAGGAAGTATAAAGAATCTCAGCTGTCATCAGGACAGACATGCCTGTCGGAAGATTTACAGAAAATCTTTATTTGGCGACAATTAAAATTCTAAATATCTCATCACTTTTTATCTCTGTGACAAAGGGTCAACAATGCAAATAGCGGGGGTAAAGCTACCTAGCAGGAACAAAAGACAAAAGAAAAACCTGACAGGGGTTATATCCATTCCCTAATCTTTCCAACAAAAATATAGGACGCTCCTTGAGGACACCAAGCAAACTTGGATCAGGTGTGTGTGGGAGAAGTTATAGTCCCCATGGGCCGGTTTTAAGCTTTTTTTTTTTTTGTGCCTATTGTCCATTTCTCCTGTATGCAGTAGTTATCTTTTTTTTCTCCATTATCCATTGAGGGATGCAGCCTAATGAAGTTGTGCCCCTCAATAGATGAGAAAAAAAAGAAGTTAAGGCTGTACATATACTTTAGGATTGCATTCAATACCAAAAGCTCAGATAGAAAAGTCACCATCCTTCCCTAATGCTTTCTTGCCCATCTTTACAGCCCAACTGTGATGAGACAATGAAATGTGGTGACACAATTTACTCTTAGCTGCACCTCACTTTAGAGGCAAGGCTGACATTTTCGTTTGTAAAATAAACTTGACTGCGTTAGAAAAATCAAAAATGTTTTGTTCTTTTTAATAAAAAATTTCTGTCTACAATGTTGACGTAAAAACTAGTCATAGATGTTGTTACAATCTGTTCATACACTCTCCTTTAAAAACAAACTATGCAGTGCCAGGACCTGCCCAACTGGATACAAATGGAATTATTATTATACAGGATTCATATAGCGCCAACAGTTTGCGCAGCGCTTTACAAAATGGGGGAGACAGTACAGGTACAATACAATTTCAGTACAATAGGGTTAGGAGGGCCCTGCTTGTGAGAGCTTACAATCTAGGAAGAGGGGTAAGTGATGCAAAAGGTAATAGCTATTTAGATTGAATTATTGGAAGAAGTAAAAGGGCAGTTATGTTGAGATAAGATGGGCTTCCCTAAAGAGATAAGTTTTTAAGAATCTAAAAGTTGGGCAGAGTAGGAGATAGGCGGACAGATAGGGGTAAGGAGTGCCAGAGGATGGGGTCACTATGTAGAAGTCCTGGAGGAGGCAATTAGAGAGCTGGAGGTCTTGAGGAGTGGAGTGGAGAGGACGGTTTGGGTGATATTTTGAGATGAGGTCAGTGATGTAGGTTGGGGCAGAGTTGTAGATGGCTTTGTATGAGGTTGTTAGTATTTTGAATTTTTCTCCGTCAGGCAAGTGGAGGGATTGGCAGAGAGGGGCGGCAGTAGTATCCATGATAGACTGAAGGAGGGATAGCCTGCTTAGTGGTAGGCCAACAAGGAGGGAGTTACAGTAGTTGAAGCAAGAGATTACAGGGGAGTGAATTAGAAGCTTTGTGTATTGGAAGCCATGGGAGGCCATCAACTGACCCATGGAAGAAGTGTAGATAGAGAATGGAAGGGGCCCAAGGACAGACCCTTGGGGGATCCTTACGGGAAGAGGAAAGGAGGACGTAGAATTGTAGGTGACACTGAAGATGCGCCGAGATAGGTAGGAGGTCAACCATGAGAAAGCAGAGTCTTGGAGGCCAAGGGATTGGAGTTTATTAACAAAAAGTGGGCAGTCAACTGTGTGAAAAGCAGCAGAAAGGTCCAGGATTATGAGTACAGAGTAGTGGCCATTGGTTTTAGCAGTTAGTAGATCGTTAGTATGCTTTAGAAGGGCGGTTCCTGTGGAGTGTTGTGGACGAAAGCCAGATTAAAAAGGAGATTGCCAATGGTAAGGTGGCGGCTCAGGCGGTTGTAGACCAGTCGTTCAAGGATTTGAGGTAAATGGGAGCAAGGAAATGGGTACGAGTAGTGAGTGTGGTCTCAGACAAGGTGTGTTTGGAGTGGGAGAGGTCTGGACAGTGGAGATTTCATTGCGAATTGCATCAATCTTACCTCTGAAGTGATTGGCAATTTCCTGGGAAGTCAGTGATTTGGTTGGAGGAGGCGGACGAAGTGGGGAGTTGAAAGTAGAAAAGAGCTGATGAGGACTAGATGAGAGCGTGTTAATGTGTGTGTAATGAAATTGGTCTATTAAGCTGTGTGGAGGCAGGGACAGTATTTTTGGAGGGCAGATTACCACTAAACTCATCTAAAACTATTAAAACATATTGCTCAATAGAAACAAAACATATAAACCCACTTTTGGTTGGCAAATTTTGCAAGAACAGATACCACCTTGTAAAAATAGCAGTGACATCACTGTGAAGCCCATAGGCTATGCAGAGCTGTTTGAGGGACCCAGCCGGTCCTCCTGTTCAGGCTGCCTGCAGAGGACTACAGGGGGCCAGATACAAGACCAGCCACATTGTACAAGAAAGAGCAGAAGTGACTTGTCTTTATTACTGAAAACACATCTGCAGAGGCAAAATGCATGAGTGTCACGCTGGAACACATTTGAAAGAAACCCATGAAGGGCACCAAAAATAAAGTAAACAAATGGCTCATGCATTTAGAGAGCATTTGTTTAGCCTGGATTTCAGAGTTCTGGTAGGTCTAATGGCGACTGTACTGTGATTGTACAAGTAGATTGTAAGGTATGGCAAGCTAAGAAGTCAACGTATGAACACAAGGTTAAGGATTTGAAAATCTGATCTATATAGAAAGTCTACTTACTTGGAGCAGGATGGACAGTGGGTGGAGGTTGGGTGAGTGGCCGAGGAACTGGCATTCTCATATTATGAGCTGGTCCAGGGATAGGAGGTAATAAAATACCAGGGGGCGGCAGCCCAGGGGGTGGTGGGAAGGGGATCATACTGGGTAGGGAAACCTCATCAACCACCAAGGGATCATTTCCGTGATCAAACTGGCAAAGGTCACCAAGGACGCAGTACCCTCGTTCTGTGAAGAGGGAAAACAAAATTATTATTCTGGCAAAAACACACACACAATTTCATGATATCCTAGACCTGAGGGGCTTATTCTAAAAGACAAATTTGAGAGCTTATCCTGTAACTAAACAATGTTGGATTTTTTAGTAGATCATGAGGATTTGTCTTCCTGATCATGCACATCAATGGGCACAATGCAACAAGACTCATGGACATTGCGGAGTATTAACAATAAAATGGATGTGGCCTGGCTGTTATTACTGATCTTAAGGGGTCAATTCTTTCAGATAGTGTTGATTGGCTGGGAAGCTGGCTTCCCGGCCAATCAGCATGCAGCTGGCTTCCCATCCATTTAGAAAACCAGGAGGCTGGTTTCTTGGCCAATCAGCATTGATCCGGCCAAACATGGAGCCGTCTTCACAGGAAATGAGGAAGCCAGGTGGTGTGTCACTACCCACTGCCCGGGAAGCCGTCTCCAGGTCAGGGAAAGCACCTGTATCGGCGAGTAGCGAACGCAAAATATCGGTCCTCGTACTTGATACTGAAAAACCGATATCGGTGCATCCCTAGAGAATATTTGCCGTATGCTTGTTCCAGCTCAGCAGCAAAGTATTGACACTACTGGATCATTGACAGACAGATAACTAGTATTTTAAGGAGGCCCCTAGTGGCAGACAACATATATCTCTAAAACACAAGTTTCTGTAGAAAGTCCCCCCAGAAAAACTAAGTTGATATAAGTGTTATTAAAATTAAAAACACGCTTTTGTATATATTCTAACTCTGGCAAGTGTACCCCTTCTGTGTGCACTACAGTATAGAGAGGTGAATCATTGCATGCTGGGACTAGGGGTACTTGGGTGGTACAGTTTAACAGATATGGAATAGATTTTGTGCCAAATTCTAGGATAACATTAGATAGGAGTATATTAAGCATGCTGCTACAACAAAATCCATCAGACAGGTTAATCAGTGACTCACCATCATAATCCCGGCATCGTCGTTTAGGAGGTGGGTTTCTATTGTATGAATTGGTAGGGTTGTGGTTGCTATAGTAATTAGACCAGATCTCTGTTGTGCTCTCAGGGTGGTGAGCAGGTGCAATGACAGTCACGGTGCTGGGGATAGCCTGCCCACCAGAGGAATACTGCTGCTGTTGCTGCTGCTGCTGCTGTTGTTGCTGCTGCTCAGTGGAGATGCTGACAACCTGTGGGGCTGGGTTGTATACAGATTCCAACTCATTTCTTTCAGAATCAAACTTCGCCCTTTCCCGGTGATCTGTCCAAACACAAACAATCCACACTACTTGTTAGGCTAATATTGCAATACTACTAAAAGCACCCGACAAATGATTATGCAATAAATAGAAAAAAGCATGGAAGCTAAAAGAAAAAAGGAGTGTAGAATGAAACATCCATCTCCAAAAGCAGTCAGTTAATTTAAATCGAATTATATGAATGCTCTAACCCTAACGAAATCTTCTGAAGGAACATTAAAGTTCATCAGTATCCATATGCTCCAAAAGTCCATATTTCATCAAAATGCTGAACAAAATATTCAAAATGAAAAATGTTCTTTCTTTTGGGAGGACCATATATCATATGTAACCACATCAAAATGTTTAATTTTATTTTTACGTAACTTTATTGCTATCACACAGGGGATAACAAGCCCCTCTGTGATCACGTTTGAAGATTACAGGTTCTCTTTATGGAGACATCTGGGGTCTATTAGACTGCAAAACAGAAGATCAAGAACGGCATTCTGCTCTGTCTCCTGTGCAGCCTGGCTTGTGACAGCGGAGACAGGAAGCATTGTGAGCACAGTGCTCCCATCTCACTGATCACAGATCAGAAAACGGACGTTCTCCTCCCTGCTCCCCATCTTGAGGTCATTTGCTTTGGTTCTGGGTCCTCCAGAAGAATGGGGGACCCCAAAAACCACAGTGGGGATGGGCGAACAATCTGGCTGCTCCAAGTGATCTGGGCGTAGCAGGGCTAAGTGTAGGGGGAAAAAAACCTGCTGGCACCCGAAAACTTAATTTCCCCGGGCGATAGGAATTACGCATCCCTGGATTTAATAAAATTATGCACACAGAATATAATGATAAAAACCAAGTTGCTATATGGCTAATGAACCTCCTCATTCAAACCCACATGGTGATAACACTTGATGTTGAAGGTTAATTAGCCATATAGGAACTTGTTTTATTTTTTTTTAAATCATCTGTGTGTATACATTTTAATATTATTTATCAATAAAACACATCCATTTATACAATCAGTGTTATACAAAATTGTCCATTCACTCTGGGCCACCGTTAAATATCCCAATTCTTATGTTAAACACTAGAGTGAACATAGGAATTGACTGGCAGGACATTTTTTACATTACAGATAAGCAATCCAAGCCTACATGTTATCACTTCTGTATGAAAATGTATGCCTAATGAGCAGGGCAGCAAATAACTGAGGAGCTAGCTTGCTGGGAGACGAAGAATTATCTCCCTGTGACCCCCTGCCTCTCACCTCTTCACCATCTCCCCCCACCTCGCTCTCAGCAGCAGGGGACGTGGGGAGGGTCCTCTGAGGGCTGCCGGCAGAAATGACTGACGCTCCGCGCAGGAAAAAAACCCCCAAAACTTGAATTCAGCCGCTTGCCCGCTTTGAGAGAAGAAATCACCTGCCCAGCGCCTAGTACATGCAGTACGAATTGTTCACCCCTGATATATATATATATATATATCTTTATATATTGGTCACAAAGACAAACAGAAAAGGTGAAAATCTCCAGTGGGGACACAGACAGCAATACAAATAAGGGATCCAATTAATTACTACACCCTTGGCTTTGCATACATTAAATGCATATACATTTTAACAAACACAACCACTCAAAGCCATCACACAAGTAAACATTAAATACATTACTTCTCCATGCAATCACTTGGGTAACTTGATTCATTTGAAGACAAGACCACCCAAAGCTGTGGAACCATTGATCCATTGGCAAAAGGCACAAAACAAGCAAGTTATGGATAAATGCAGGTAGTGCTACATTGCTCCTCTAACCATCACTGAACAATAACCAAAGAAAATACACACGTTTGCTGGAATACACCAGTGAATAAATTAAACAAACCAGGTTATTTTTGGATAAATTCCCTGAGCAGAAGCTTCATGCGAAGAATACATAATTGCTGTAAAAGCAAAAGCATTCCTTCCTGCCACAAAGATAACACATACAAATTGTGCACAGAAAAAAAAAAAAAGTAGTCAATGAAAAGCGACAAATTGCAGCAAATTTGAACGAAGGAGGCGCATCTGAATATAAAGTGCGGGTTTAAAGTAAAACTAAAGGCTGGCTGTTTTTCTCCTTAATGCATTCTCTGCATGAAGGCAAAAAAACACCCAGCACTTTAGTAACAGCCCCCCCCTTACCTGCAGCAACTCGTCCCATCCATCACAACCGGGAAGATGCTTCCTGGTTGTGGGGCAGAGTACTGAGGGCAGAGGAGCCACAGGCTCCTTCTGCCATCAGTCAAGTTATGACAGCAAGGGCGGGGGTGTGGCCCGCCACACGCTGTGTGTGTCTATGGACGCACACAGCTAGGTGTGGGCATGGCCATGACTGTACATGTACGGGTGCCTTCACAGTTAGCTGATGGAGGCACCCGTACAGGTAGGGGGTGAGCTTGCGATCTGGATACCACTTGAGGAAATAAAATAAAAAAAACTTTTCTTTAGCAAGTCTGGCCACCATATCAAAGAAATGTAAAAAAAAACCAAAAGATTTAATGTCGCTTTAAGCTCCACTCTACAATTCTGGGATTCCAAGAGAAAGTGGGGTTGGGTTTTCTGAACTGCAGATGTATATGTAAGAGAGGAATCTAAAATGTGAAACCCCTTGTTGGAGTTCTCCGAGAGTCCCAAAGCTTATTAAGCACTCATGCAAAAAGCAAATTCACTTCTTAATATCATGTTTGCACCTTTTCCCTCCATACACCATTATTTATCTATTCTTGTAATGGTCATCAATACTAACTAACAGTGATGCGTGGGTGGAGCGAGCCAAAACAACTAAAAAGATGCAGGCGAGTGCTAATAGGGAGGTGATCACACATACGTGCATTTTAAGACATTTCAAGTTAATACAGGTTCAGTTTACAATTTGTGACCTACTGCAGCAGAGCCAAGCGTGCTCAGAATATACCCCAAAACAATGTTTAGCCGTGGTCAAGTCTTTGCTACACCAAAGCTTTCTTTAAAACAAATGCATTTTAATGCCTGGTGGAAACTGTGGTTCTTTTTAGAAATCAATGTTCCCCAGTTGGAGCTAGGGATCAGTATACATTCCATAACAGATGCAACAAACTCATTTAACTTAAAACCGCAGAATAAGTGAAACAGATCAATGACAAAATACTATACAGCAACTGCATTAAAGTAAAAAAAAATGCATTTTACAATAATGCAAAAATATGAGTATTCAGTGAATAAAGGGGACTTTCCCCTTATTAGTGCTTGAGCCTGTGTCGAGGTGCTTTTGTTTGATTCAGGCAGGTATTGCATACCCATAGAAATCTATGGCCATGCAAAATCTACTTCAAGCAGGTCAGAAGCCAGCTGCAGGCCAAATGCACCCGTCAATGAACTCTGAATCAAGATCTTTATAGCATCCTAAACTGATGTCAAACTGATGCCTTCAACACAAGGCCAAAGCCCATCGACACAGACCCTTAAGGTGGCCATACACTTTACAACCCTCGCAAGACTATTGTCTTGCGAGGGTTGTAAAGTACTTAAAAAAAAACGGACGATCTGCCCATCTTGGACAGGCAGATCGAACTTACGAACATCGCAAGCCCGCCCCCCTGAGCGGAGGGCTTGCGATGAATGCAAACGGGCAGTGTGCGAGTGCGCACACCGGCCCGTTTGGCAATTGTCGAACAAGCAGGCCACTAACTCGCCGAGAATCGTACGATTCCCGGCGGGTTTTCCAGCCTGCTTGTTCGACGGAAGACGTGCGACCGTACAGTAGAAACGGTTGCACGCCTTCCATACACTGCACGATTATCTTACGATCGCGGGATTTCCCGCGATTCTCGTACGAGGATCGTGCAGTGTATGGGCACCTTTAAGCTGGCCATACACAGAATTTCGGCTGGTTCTTGATGAACCAGCTGAAATTCGCATAGTGGGTGCTGCTGTTGACACCCTTTCGTCCAGCATCCCACAATCAGCTGATCGAAGCAGCTGGTCGGAAAATCTTTGACAGAACAGAGCTGGCAGAATACAATGCAAACAGCGGGGATTCCTCAATTAACGCTCTGTTGATGGTGGAATCATTCAGCCTGAAGAAAATATTACAGTGTATGGTCAGCTTTAATGACGTTTTTCAAGACACTAGTATAGCTCAGAGCAGGATTTTTTTTATAGACGAACC